TGTGTGTAGCAGTTTCCTATTTTGACTCAAACTATTTCAGGTCTTAATTTGTTGGGGTTTAATCTCTTGAAAGTTAACATCTTTCGGGCTCTAAATCCTGACACACATAATACATACTGTATATAAATACAACCAACGAAACATGTAACACATCTTTTAAACACTGGAATTGTAGAAACAACAAGACATGAAGAAGCAAAAAGCCTTGCAAAAATATATACAAAGAGGATAGTAGAGAGGCTTTGTAATTAAGGCTCGTAGTGTCTACGCTCTTCTTGTATTGACTGGAATATTCTGGCTGCATTTTCACTCGCCAACCTCGCATTGTGCGGCACCACTTTAATCACTCTCGTCGCCACGCTTGTTGTTTTTGCCACAAGTTGTGGTTCACTGCCTCTGGTTCGTGGTTGAGACCTTATTGGCGCTGGATGCGGTTGGGGTGCTTTGGCAGCTCTGTTCGCAGTGTTGGAGTTTGTTGGGAAGTTACAGGAGCTCTGTTGTTGCTGAGTGTTCATGGCGGCATTGTGTCGATTTCCGGGATGGCTAAACTGATTCACCGTCTGCTCGGTTGGTGGTTGTTGCCATGAAGAATTAGGCATGCCGTAAGGAGGGAAGTATGGCGGGAACCCAGCACCAGGGTGAAATGCCTGATTAGGAAGACTGCAAGTCGGACCGCCCGGGAAATTATAATGACCGTAATACCCTCCACAAGCCGACCCCGTGTGTCCTGGACCTGGGTAAGGCTTGTAGATGAGCCCCTCCGAAGGAGACATTACAGGGATTAACCATTGGTGATTTCCCGGGGTAGGTTGAGGTGGAAAGCACCAGCCGCCACCACCGTTAACACCTGTAGGAGTCCTGTAGGAGGTGTTTGATGCCGCTGGTGAAGCAGGTGGGTTAACTAATGAAACATGAGTTCTTCCAAACACGTTCTCCGCTGAACATTCCATCTTATGATGGTTATTGGTTTTCTCCGAATCATCTCTGTGTTTGGCAACGCGTGGTAGAGGCTTCACAATAAATTCAGATTGAAGGAGCTTCTTTTGTGGAGAGCTTTTAGCAGAAGCTTTCTCAAGATAAGTGACATCGTCGAGCAAGAGATCCGGTGATGCAGCAATGAGTCTTTGAACCTATACAGTAGAAAGCAGATTAAGATGTTGTACCCCGAAAGCACATATTAAGGGAATTTGAAGAGAAAAGGCTAATCCAGATGCTTAACCTTAATCAGTCTGTGCAACTCGAACAGTTGAACTGCAAATAATCGTTGTTGACTGTAAAGAGTAACGGAGTTGCGTCAAGAAGATTAACAAAAGAAGGAGAAAATCCGCAAACAAAGGTCAAGTTTATATTCAACAAGTAAAGCAATAGAATCAAAAATCAAATAAAAATTAAGAGAACAAGAAATTAAGCTGTATATGGCATAAGAAATTAAGAATAGCATAAAACCCGACTCAAGAAGCGTAAAAGCCATAGGAGCTTTGCGCGGCCACCCTACAAAACCTCTTAAAGAAGAAAAGCAACTATAATTCCTGGTCATGATAACTAACTTGATTTACGGTTAACTAAAAAGTAGGATCCGGGACCTTCCCCTACCTGGTTCAAGCCCTCGAGTGACAAGAAGGGAAATCCCCAAGACGACAGAGAGGAATAAAAGCGATACCAAACCGAGACAGGAACATGTTCCAACAAGCATATGCAAAAAAGAAACGGTACTAAGCCATGAACTGTCTCGGTGGACATCTTCCACAATGAATGTCAATAAGAAATGTCCCTCCCTGCTATGACATGATCCAACGTTTCAAACATGTTAATATGTTACCGAGAATTCCTTAACTATCATATAAACACCCCACTTTGGAGGAATCTGAGGCATCTCCACTATAAAAACACCTAATTCTGAAGCAAAACAACAAAACTCATCCCTCTGGAAACAAGGCTGTATAGTAACTAAATCAGCAAAAAAGAGTGGACGAAATGTCCGTTGAGCATAGAAGAGATAAGCAGGTTAAACAAAACAATAAACCTCTAGTGAACTTACTTGTTGATGGCTTTCCTTGCTCTCCAGAAACGTTTTTGACCTATTATTCCCACTATATCATCAGGAGAGACATCTTCGCTTAATATAGAATCGACCATTGAATTCTCAGAAACGTCATCACAAGCTTCTTCAATTCTCTGCTGCTGAGAGTTTCGTTCCCCACTTCTACCGTATTCACCACCATTGTCAATTTCATCTGGACTGCCATTGGCTCCTCCTGAATTACTCTCTCTTGGGAACTGATACTCAACTCCATTATCAGTATCTTTCCCAAAGGCTTCACCATCTCCATCGAACCTACTTCTGGAGTCTTGTCTCAAGGAAGCATCACAAGGATTTTCCCCGTAGTAATCTGATTTTGATTTGTCCACATTCATTTCTTCCCTAGCTGATACATATAAGGAGTTCAAGAAGGCACCTTGAGAGCTAGGTGCTACCGACGAAGTGTGTTTCTCCTTTTCAAGGCCGTTCTTGTTTGTAGTACCATAAGACTGAACTCTTCTTGAGTTAACTAAAACAGGAACCGAAAAATCATCTTCCTCTCCAACCATTTTCCTCTGATCACTCCGTGCTAAAGATCTCACATTTTCAATGTACGGTCCTTGCGTGACAAAATTCTCAGCTGAATGTACTCTAGCCGAAGAAGTTACCTGCTGCTGGACATACAAGAGTGTTTCCCCACCACAAGCCTGCAGGAGACAACAAAGATGAAGATCGGTTACATACATTGACTCTAATCATGAAACTTGAAGATGTCAACAAAAACTGAATCCATCAGTCAAAAAGGAAACTCTAATCACTAGTTAATCAATCATATCAGACAGAACAACAAACAGTGGATCTATATATGTCAACAAACATTTGATGAAATCTTGTTCTTGTCTACAAGCTATAACACCAATTTCTACAACTTGAAACCCATAAATCATTACAAAACACACACACAAAAACCAGGTGAGGTAAATCAGAGAAACAAAAAGCTACCTGAGTGGAGTGTTCAGGAGGAACAATGATGCGAGTGTTAAACCTCTGAGAAGGGATGCTTAGTTGCTCATAAAGAGCCATCTTGTTTCTTGGAGGAGCCCTAGGCCCTCCTCGATTATCAGAATCGTTCACATGAAGACGAGGAAACATGGGCTCAAGTATCTTCTCATCACAATCTTTCCCTCTCTTCATCACAATCTTTTCTCTTTCGGAAATTCACAAACCCAATTTTGATCTCACCAAATCTTATTTCCAAGTACTACCAACCCAGATTTTTCCCCCAAAATTGAAAAACCCTAGATTCGAAAAACCTCAAATTTCACACGAAAAAAAAAACCCAATAATCGACGAAATTCGCCAACGGAAAAATGTGAAATTTACACGAGGAAGAAGAAGCACCAAGCAGAGATGTTCGTTTACCAAAGAAGAAGAACAAGATTCGAGAGAGATGGAAGAAGAAAGTGTGAAAAAGGAGAGTGGGGCCCATTTTGATAGACCGCAGAAGAAGATCCTTCTGGATAAGAGACAACGTGGACCAATTACGCCTTTTTATTTTCTTTTAAGAAACCTTAAAACTTTTTTACTTATTCGAATTTTAACACTTTTTTGTTGTTCTTGTGGACAAGGAAAAACCATTTGTAAATTGAAACGTAGACCAGTATTTGAGTTTCGATCGGTGAAAACTTATATTATCAAACTATGAATGCAAAATAATTTCCATGATTTATCACTCCTTTTTATCTATTTATTTTCAAAATTTGGTTTATAGGTTTATTGCAACTAAATGTTTAGTTGATTTAAAAGTAGTTTACAATATTAGTGTCAGCAACTAGGTATGTTTGCTTAATTGATAAGTGGTCTACTTCTGTTGGTCATAAGTTTTCAATTACTTTTTTGATCAATTAATACCCCTATTTACGATCAATGTAATGAATTTCGACGGTTTGGTATTGGTCAACGGAAATAACTGTTTCCGAAGAATGTAAGGAGAATCAAACTAGAGATTAAGAATTAACAGATGCTTGCAATGTTCATGATTCAACATTTCTACTTGCTTGCAATGTTTATGTTCTTGTTTCTTTCTGCTCTTCAAATGATCCATTTGATTATGGGAAGTTCCTTCAGATG